GAAGGAAGGTTGGGCAATCCTACTTCCGTAGTGATACTGCCTCTGCCTCGGAAACCCAAGGAGGGGTCGCTATGAGTCAGGTTTGACTTGACGGCACATAACAACAACAACAGCAACAAGCTCTTTGCCTAACTAACTCCTTATACTTCAGATCTCAGTTTAAATGTCATTTCTCAGTTTTGCTTCCCTTCCCTTGACCCTTCCATCCAGATCAGATTAGGTCACCACTTCATATCCCTCCAGGACCTGGTACTTTTCTTTCTTTATATTTACCACAACTTATGTATCACTTGTGGTATCTTGTCTGATATCTTAATTATCTTGTTTAATGACTGACTTCTGAAGGTTGGGTCTCTTTTGCTATATTCTCAGTATCTAATATGGAATCAGGCATATTAGGCACTTAATAAATATTTGGGGAATAAGTGGCAATGGCAACAACACCGTTCACACAAGACTTCAGAGTGAAAGGAGTCTTATAAATCACTTACTGTAGTTTCCCTTCCTGTTATGTCTGTAATGTCCTTGACAAAGGCACATTAAAACTCTTTTCCTTGAACACTGTGAGTGGTTCTTTCATTTGCATCTCAAATGTAGTAAGTTTCAAGGTCCTTCACATTTCTGTCATTTTTCTCAAGTGTTTTAAGAGGAGATGGTTACCCTCTTGGGTGAGAGGAGCATGTTTCTATTAATGCTTCATAAGATTGCATTCATGTCTGAGCAATTGTCAGTGCTGATATGTAGTCACCTAAAACCTCAAAGATTACCTAGTATCAGAAAAGCTATTCTACTTTTAGCCTTTCCTTGGCTAGTGATAATTCTCCAAGTTATCACAGATTTTTAGTTTATAAAAATTTCTTACAGATAGAGTTATCATGGATAGCAACTGTTGTTTCCTGTGTCAGGTTGCAAGTATGTTAACATGTGAGAAGGGAAAATTTTATTAAGCATCTATTCTGTACTAGGGCCTTCTTACTAGCTTATAACATATATTTTATATTATATAATATATATGTAAAATATCTAGAAGGGAATTATAGGGTAATAGCTAACAACATGGCCTCTGGAGTCCTAGCTCCTTGATGAATTGAGCTTTGCCACTTACCAGCTGCATAGCCTCTACTTGCTTGTTTTCCTCGTCTTTAAAATTAAAATAACAATTGTACCTATCTTATAAAGTGATTGTGACTATTCAGAAAGTTAATATAAGCAAAGCATTTACAGTGGTATTGCCACATAAAGGTGAATGAGTATGTATTTGCTATTATTTCATTTAGTGCTCAAAAATAACAGGATTAATAATTACAGTTGTACAGATGAAGATACTGTAATCCAGCAAGTTTAATTTAAGGGAGATCCAGGAATTGAACCTGTGTCATTAGAAATAGCAGGATCAAGAGTGTTTATGTGGAAGGAATCACTTAGTATTTTCCTCTAAAAAGGCCTGTGGGTGTGGCAGGTACTTTGATTTCACAGGATGACTTGGTATGGCTCTGATGAGAGAAGGCCACATACTCATTTCAAATAAGTTGTTGAAGACAAAGTGATGAAAGGTAGAACTAGCAGGCTATTCTCACCTAAATCTGGAAACTCCATGAAGCAGAAACTCTGCCTCACTCATGCTTCTGTTGAAGTGTAATTCTAGCATCTTGCTCTGTTATGTAGTATGTACTCAACAAATGTTGTTGATGAATAAGTGTGAGTATGGAGAGGAGACCTAGTAAAGGGGTCTGAAATGATATCAGGAATTTTGGCTCAGTAACTGGCTGGCAGTTCAAACCCACCAGCCACTCCTCAGAAAGAAGATTGGGCAATCTACTTCCGTAGTGATACTGCCTCGGAAACCCAAGGAGAGGTCACTATGAGTTGGATCCAACTCGACACCATGAGTTTAACTGGAGAATGTGCCTCTTTTAAATGATAGCAAATGTAGGTAGAAGAGAAGGAAGGAAAGGTACGAGTTTAATTTAGAGAAGTGTGTTATTGTAGTAGAGAGATTTAATAGACAAATAAGGACAGAGATAGGATTGAAAATAAAGTGGAAATTTCTTTTGAATTTGAAACCTAGCAATTATCCCTAGAATAATGATTATATAATTTCAAGAACTGAGGTTTTTCAAGATTTTTAAGAAAAAAAAGTCACATTACACATTATTATAGGATATAATTTGTAATTATTTTAGACTTTACGTCTTATTCTCTTAGCTTTATGTGGTGGGAAGCAGTCTAATTATATAGTAGAGAGTAAGGAATTGCAGAGATTTTAAAACTGAACCATATATAAAATGCATACAAATGATACCTCACTGTAAACCTTCATCAATATGGAAGTACCTTAGTAGAAACAATGAAAGTAAAAAATTCTTAGGTAGATAAAGTAGAAAACACAAGTTATTTATGTTAGGAATCAAACAACACAAGAGGTAATTGTGTTCTGAATAAACAAAACCTTTCATTTAGGAATAATTTAGGTTGAGGTCAATAAAATCAAACTGCCTGAGACAATAGAATGGGGGTAGGGCATCAGAATTATACTCCCCTTACAAAGTTAGGTCCCTGGGTGGTGCAAATGGTTTGTGCTTGACTACTAACCTAAGGCTGGCAGTTTGAACCCACCCAGTGGTGTTAAGCAAAAAAGGTCTTTTGTAAAAGATTACAGCCAAGAAAACCCTATTTTGTAACAGATGGGATCAGTGTGATTCAGACTGGACTTGATGGCAACGGGTTTGGTTTGGTTTTGATACAGACTAGCCTTTTTTTCTGTTACCTATTTAACTATTTTGCTTGGAGGCCATTAAGAATTGTCTATATTCATAACTGATGAAAGCTTAATTAAAGAGGTTACAATCCATTACATCCGTATTAAAAGCTCAATTTTATCCTAATGAAGTTACCTTTGCGGTATTTTAGGAAAGTAATCGTGTCATATAATTTTACTTAAGATAATTTCTATTTATTTTTGCTTTAATTATAAAATATGTGATTCTTCTAGATAAACTTTCTTTTCTTTTTGTAGAATAAATTACTAGATTCAGACTATTTTTATTACATCTAAGATTTTTGGGTTTTTTTGTTGTTGTTTTCTTCTACTGGGGTTAAAAGAATATTGATGAATAACTTAGTATTTCAAGTTTAACTTTTCCTCCTTTATTGCTAGTATTTTAAATTTTTTTCTTGATGATAATAAAATAATGTACTTACCTTGGAGCAGCCAGAACAGACTATTGAAATTACTGTTTTATATATGATTAATATGACACGAAGGTGCCCTGGTGACAAAATATTTAAGTACTCTCCCACTAACTGAGAAGTTGGCAATATGGATCCATCCAGTGATTTCATAGATGAATGGCCTGGTGGTGATCTCCTTTAGTTAACATTACAGTCAAGAAAACAGTTTACTCTGTAACACATGGGGTCAACGCATGGGGTCACCATGAGTCAGAATTAACTCAGTAGCAATGAGTTTGTTTGTTCTTTTTATACTGATGTCAACAGAAGTTGCAACATGTTCTGAATTCTTTACATTATATCAAATGTTTTAAATTCTAGTAAATATTGCCTGCTTTATTTATAGCAGTTTTTGAATTACACTACCATTTTTATTCTTCATACAAAGATAGTTTTACTCTTTAAAAGTGTATTTAAAAGTATACTTGGTCATTTGTTTTCCTCTCTGTTTTTCAAAACTTTTTAATGTTTAATTATAATTTTTGGTTTTTAAATATTTTTATCTTTCAGGAGTCAGGAGAAAGCAGTAAAGTTGGAGTTACTGTCAAGTGATTGCTGCCTTTTACAAGAAAATCTCATTGCCTGAAGGTCATTTAAATTTGTGAAATAACAGAATCAGTTATTAAAGGTGACTCTGAAGGAAACATTAAAAATTGAACAATGACTCAGCTGTATATTTACATCAGATTATTGGGAGCCTATCTGTTCATCATTTCTCATGTTCAAGGTAAATTGATGATTACTTAAGCAATGTGATCATCTTTGCTGGTAGTTTATTTCTATATATAAAAAGTAGTCATTGTTACAACTACTCTTTTAACTGATGTCCCTTTTTGAACAGTTAGACCCAATGTAACAGCATAGCTTTTAAGTAAGGAGGCAAAAAGCAGAATATGCAAATTATTTTTGGAGTTGACCATAGTTAGAAACATTTTCAAGTATTTTTAAAGTTCCAGCCTCTCTGAACTTATTTTTTCATCTGTACTATTGCCATTATGGTGGTTGTTGTTACATGCCGTCGAGTCAGACCCGACTCATAGCGACCCCTCCTTGGGTTTCTGAGGCAGTATCACTACGGAGGTAGATTGCCTCATCTTCCTTCCAAGGAGTGGCTGGTGGGTATACAACAACAAATTAACGAGGTTTTAATGAGATAAAGTACATAGCATAGTGTCTAGGACACAAGGTAATAGGTACTCAGTAAAGGTGAGTTTTTAAATTTCTGTCTCCTTTAAAATACAATAAGAGATAAGTATACATAATAATAATCATCATTTTATTATTTTTAAAAGACTTTAGAAAGGTAAATGTTGGTTGTATATTCTGAATAAGAAAATTTCATCATATAATACTAAAATTTTATTTCTAACCAATATTATAACTTTGCTTTGTATGTTCACAGTTTGGAACTCCCAAACAGGAAGTTATTGTGATGACTTTTAGGATCAGATGGACTGTGTTTGCACATGAGCTATTTCCTGTATGATTTACATATAAAGAGATTTCCTTTACATATAAAGTTATTGATTGGTTTTTCCATATCCCTAAAGAATGTTGATGGAATCTGGATTGGGATTGCATTGAATATATAGATTGC